TACAGAGGCATAAGGTCGCATTTCGGCTAGATCCATTTGCCATAAGTCATCCAAACCTTTGATGATAATGCGGCGCCTTGGAAATTTTTTCCTAGCAGGTCTATGTAATTCATTGACGAGTTGGATTTTTTCTTCAGAATGTGACATATTGACTTCGTTGGATTAGGAGTTTATATGATGGGTTTCACACAGGAGGCTTCCTTTTTGGTGGCGGTGGTGTTGTCGTAGATTTTGGAGTGATGGCAATCTTTGCCAGATCTTTTTTCATTTGATCAATGACATCAGCAAGCTGGCGTTCTTTATCACGGCTGTGTTGTTGCTCAGCCTCCAAATCGTGCAAACTCTTCACAGTGTTGTCAATCTTATCGACAAGTTCTAGAATATTTTTCACATTCAAGTCGATGTCGCTTTCGAGTTTTGGTAGAGAGTTGTTGCGAAGCTGCTCCACATGAATGTTGATCTTGTGCACTATGCCAGACAACTGAACAAAGTTTGTATTGTACGATGTCAGTTTAAGATCATGTACATCCACTCTCTTCCTTCCTTCGATTATTTCGTTGCTGAAGCCAGCAAGGTTTTTTCGGATTTTTCCACCGTAATTATCGAAAGCAATCTTGGAATCTAACTTTATTTGCGTTATAACTCCATCCACATATTGTTTGTTTGCAACATCAGCGACATCTGTTGGCAGTTTTACGTTACACATCTTCAAATGACCAACATCAATATCACCGGTTGAAGTATGTGAAAATCCAGATCTGACTGTCACCATCTGAGCTGAGCGTGGAAACGAACCACGTCCGAATTTGTCGAGACTCATTATGCTAATGACTAAAGTATTGTACGTTATCGATAATAGTCGGCACTTTGCCTCGCCAATTATTAGCTCCTTCTCTCATAGACATGCCATGGAAGTGTCACGGAACTGTCACGGAAGTGTCAAGGAAGTGTCACGGAAGTGTCAAGGAAGTGTCACGGAAGTGTCACGGAAGTGTCACGGAACTGTCACGGAAGTGTCACGGAACTGTCACGGAAGTGTCAAAGAAGTGTCACGGAAGTGTCACGGAAGTGTCACGGAAGTATCACGGAACACGGAAATGTCACTGAATCGTCACACATGTTTCATTATGCCTGCCTCTTCTAATTCGTTCAAGATGGCAACAATCTCGTTATCGTTTGATGTATTTCCGGCTTGCTGTGATGCAATGAGCAACTTCAATCTATCTACCAATTCGTTTGGATCACTTCAATACATGTATTCGATAGGTGCTGTGTTGTATGTCAACTTCAAACCACGACCACTGGAATTGGATCTGAACATTGGACGAATAATTTCTACGTATTTGAGTCTAGAGGAGGACTTCATACGTCCTGCAGAATTCAGATGAGCTTTGGCGAGCAAGAGTATTTGCTTGTATGGGTTAGTATCATCTTTGGCAAAGGATGGATCATTATAGAAGAGTAATTGATAGAGGCCTGGGGTGCCACGGAACCGAAAGCCATCAAGAAGTATATCTCCAGTTCTTCGATGAAAATTCATTTTTTTCCGTTGAGGGACCATTTCGATGTTACTGGATCATATTTGGGGCCATAAACCGTATCAATATTTTAATCATTTGTCCAGTATTCAGTCAGATATTTTTGAGCCATCGCAGGATACTGATCATTGCAGCCGGTGAGATATTTTCACTATCTACAAAAAGTTCATCATCAGCATCGTCATAACCATCCTCATCATCATCTTCAGTATGCCCAGCATTATCAGCCACATCCATCATAGGTATGAAATTAGTTTGATTCAAATCCGATTGCTTCCTCTCCACCTCCCCATCCTCTTCCTCCTTCTTCTCCTTCTTCTTCTCCTTCTTCAACCCCAACGACTTTGCTCTGCTTCGCTTGATGTTTGAAAGCGTTCCATCGAGTTTTTCTTCTATGACCTTGGACGCGGAGGCAATTTGTTTCAAGGGTGATGTCAGTGGTTGGAATATTTTCTGTAACGCATCATCATCCTCAGACTTGCTCAATTTTAGTGCTAAATATTTTCTTCTGATTGATTTCGATAGTTCGTTGATTTTTTTCTTGCGCAGCGCATCAGCAACATCATCATGCATCTTGGTTGACGTCATCTTGATGAATGGTCTAGAGATAACAGTCTTATGAACTTATCGAAACCATTTCTATATCTGCCAGCATTCATATCGAAAGTTTTTGCAATCACCATCGCACCATATTGGTTGGAATTCCAACACTCTGAGCACAATGCTTTAAATTGATCGAATGACATGTCTGGTGAGACATGCTCGTCGAACACATGCTTCAAATTCATTTCATTCTGTCGAAATAATACCAACAGGTTACTGTTGTCTCGCACCAGCTGCTTCGGTATCTTAGAAAAAGTCTGGCATAGGTATGCCACGTCAATATCCTTGTGTCTACACATTGAAAAATATTCTCGAATTTTTTGCTGCTTGTCGCATGATACATCATCAAAAATGAATATCGAATGATTTTTCGCTTCTGATGGACTAATGACATCATCATTTTCTTTAAAGGGGAAAATACCCAACACCTTTCACTAAATCCAACACTTGTTGCAGCAATTGATATTTCGGTTGGTACAACGACTTTGAATACACGTAAACGTTCTTGAATTTCGCGCCATTTGGATTGAACAGCAGGGAGAGCATCGCATTGGTCTTTCCACATCCGCTTGGTCCGCAGAAGATTGCTCTGAACGAATGGGGAAGCAGTTTCCCATGTTTACTATTCACTGGTGGTTTGATTGACAAAATTTCATCCAAATTCACAATGGGTAACATCCGTTCTTGTTGAATGATCTTCATCATGTGATGATATATTTTTCATTTCATTAGCTATATTCAGAGTTGTCGAACTTCCTACACGTCAGTCTTCATGTTGCTCTACCACGGAGAGGGTGTGCTTAATTCTCTGATCGATGAACTTCCCATCGAATTACACATTCCAGGCTACAGATTTTGTGGTCCAGGTACCAAACTCGATGAAAGACTTGCAAGAGGAGACACCGGTATCAATCCGTTGGATGACGCGTGTCGAGTACACGATATCGCCTATTCACAAAATTTCTCAATAGAAGACAGACACAAAGCTGATTGGATATTGGAAAATAGAGCGTGGGAGACAGTCAAGTCGAAGAACGCTAAATTCAAAGAGAAGGCTGCTGCTTGGCTTGTCACCACCGGAATGAAGGTTAAACGAAAACTTGGCATGGGTCTTGTATCACAGCAATCCCTATCCAACATTGTCAAATTCATAAAAAATGTACTATCAAAGTCAGATGGTGGTGGTAGTAGTACAACATCAGGAAGTGGTCTGAATAAATCTGCATTGAAAGCACTCCATGCAACCAGAATGGCAATCAAGAGGGCTGGCGGTGAAAAAAGAATCAGAGTACCAAGAATCATACCTCTTCCACACAGTGGAGGTATCCTACCATTGATACCAATCTTTGCCGCCTAGGGAGCCCTAGGATCTCTAGCTGGAGGAGCCGGAGCAGTCGCAAAGACAGTCATTGATGCAAAAAATGCAAAGAAAAAGCTCGAAGAAGATGAAAGGCATAATAGAGCAATGGAGGCTATAGGAAAACAAGGTTCCGGCCTATTTCTTTGCAAAACATCGAGAGGATTCGGACTGTTTTTGAAGAAACAATCAAAAAACACAAAAAACTTCTAGACAAGCTACCCAATAAAACAATGTACGATAAAGATGTGATAAAGTATGCCAAATAGCTGAAAATACCGTATTTTCGAGGTGTTTTTATGCGGGACACTCTACCTTCCACCGGTCCATGGCATCGCGAGTGTGCTGTATTGAATTTGGATACCTCCAATCATGCGGGCACTCATTGGGTGGCTTACATAAAGAATGATAAAAAAGACTAATATTTCGATAGTTATGGTAATCTGAAACCGCCCAGAGAATTGGCGCAATATTTGGGTGCCAGCACGAAAATCTTGTACAATAACAATCAATACCAAAATTTCGATCAAAGTAATTGTTGACGTCTATGTTTAGAATTCCTTTTTAATGAGACCAAGTAACTCGGTCATTGTGCATCAGTCATGTCTCTGATTGTGACGTTGAAAGGTCGTACATCTACGCTCTCCATAGACTTTTTGACACCACTTCAACTCGATCCAGACTCTGATTACGGACTAGCATTATTGGGATTCCATTCATACAACAGTATACCAAATATCAACAAAGGATCAAAGTTTTATCTGCAAGATAAGACCAAGGCGGGAAAGATCATCGATATTCCCGAAGGTTCATACGACATTGTGGACATTGAGATATTCATACGCAAAGAATTGGGCATCTCAAGTGCAAAGGACGTTGATGATATATTCTCGTTAAAGCCCAACAATAATACACTAATGTGTAAGATTTCGAGCCAAAGGTTTGCCATCGATTTTCGCCCGAAGGATGGCATAGCTCAAGTCTTGGGATTCTCAAATAGATTGTTGAACGCACAACAAGTCCACACTTCCGATTTGCCGGTCAGCATAACCGAAGTGAGAACCATTCACATTGATAGCAACGTTACTGCTGGAGCTCTCTACAACGACAGACCATCACATACGATCTACGAGTTTGCAGTTGCAGTCGATCATGGTTACGCCATAGACGAGACTCCCAGAAATCTGATCTATCTACCTATAGTCAGCAAGCGGGAGTTGCCCAACATTACACTCCAGATTCTAGACCAAGATTTCAGGCAGGTGAATTTAAGAGGTGAAGAAATCATCATAAGATTGGAATTGAAGAAACTCGCAAGATGGTACTACTATTTGATTACTCCTATGAATCAGATAATATACCATCATCAGCAACATCATCAGCACCAGTTCTCTCGACACCGTATACCAAAGCAGTCGTGTTTTCGAAGAGCAGCAGCAGCAGCAACAGAAAAACATTGACATTATCCAGTGTCCTGTTTCTGAAATCACTCAAAGACTACAATGTTGTTAGCACCCGTGTTCGACGTTTTCCGCAAACTCAGACTCGACGAAAGCATCACTAAAGTGGAATGGCGTACCTATTATCCATATGTGAAATCATTCGAGAACAATGATGTCATCGATATAACGGTTAATCAAGCAGATTCGTGGTTGGCCATGTTTGAAGGTATCATTACCATCAAGGGTAAATTAAAGGTGACCGGTGGTGGTACTGGTACATTAACCCACAATGCTGGGGCCTATCTCTTTGATTCCTGCACCTATGAATTGTGTAATAAAGAATTGGACACTGTCAGATATCCTGGAATAACGAGTACTGTGCGAGGATACTTGTGTTATACGCCTGAAGACTCACGTCATCTAGCCATAGCAGGCTGGAACTATCCCAATGCTCCGATCCTTAACACCGATGGTACGTTTAGCATGAACATTCCACTGAAACATTTGTTTTCCATCTTCAATGATCATCAAGTGGCAACGTGGGGCAAGCAGTCAATCCGTTAAGTGAGAGCTCGCAATGATGCCAACAGTGTGAAGGTTGTCGAGAGAGCGAATATTGCTTTGCCAGGATCTCCTCAGACTCAGAGTAATGCTAAAATAACGATAGAGAGCATCAATTTGGAAGTGCCACATATCACACCCAACGATGACATAAAGTTGCAGCTGTTGACACGTATCAAAGCAGATGAGTCTATGATGATACCGTTTCGCCGATGGGAATTGCACGAGCTACCAGCACTCACACAAGGATCTACCATAGAAATCTGGTCCGTCAAGACATGTTCGGCATTGGACAGTCCAAGATATATTATAGTATTTTTCCAAACGAAAAAAGCCGATAATTTGCATGAAGACGTCACCTTGTTCGATAATGCCAACATCTAATCCATACGATTGGTTCTGAATAGCGACTATTATCCGCAAGAACGAATGCTATTGGACTTTTCCAGAGACCAATATGCCGACGCCCACTTCAACTATACAGAGTTCAACAAGAGCTACAATAACTGTCAAGAAAAGCGCTCTCTAGTAAACTTTGCCGAATTCAGATCCCGACCAATGTTTGTTATCGATTGCTCGAGGCGCTATCTGGGTCTGAAGTCGTCAACAGTTGACATAAAGTTGGACATTGAAGCGACTACAAGCTTCCCTCCCGACACCAAAGCATATTGCATCATCATTCACGATCAAATCATGGAACATCTCCCACTCAGCGAAATTGTTCGAAATATTGCCTAGTTGGGTGTTGCTGCATCAGTCAGACGTCAGTTTGCTTCGAAGAGTCATGGAGATCGCACTGGTTGACATTCAAGGGTTCATGGTTGATGGTGAATTCATTCCAAAGGAAATGACCATTCGCATTGGCAAAAAGACTAGTCATTTTCTATTCAAGTCATCTGTAGAATTTTCGAGTTCAAGCAGAGAAGATAAGAAGATGGCAAATCACCTGGAACGCTATGTGCATGGTTTGAGATATTCCAGTGGTTATGTGGATTTGAATGAGTTCGATGGAATACTACAAGATAACCTGCAGCAAACAAATATCATCTACGTTAGAGGACACCAAAAGATTCAGTTCTTGCAGCGAAAATGTGCAGAGTTGGAGATGACCAATCACATTGTGAATTTAGAAGATTTTGACAATTCTTGGTGGCAACCAATAACGTTTCAACAATCCATTCCACCTTGCATGAATCATTTCCGCGGAGGAAGGTTCCAGTGCAGTCTTTACAATGTCGATACTTTATATGATTGGCTATGTAATTCAATACCTAAATAAAAAACTATATATCGTAATTTCAGAGTTTTTATTCATCACATCCCTTATTTCTCAGTATAATGAAAATAACATGTGAGATTAAAATGAGTGAACATATATAAGTGTACAAAAAAGTGTCAAAATTGCAATGATATTGACAGAATCTTGATCATCATCTAATTTTGCGGGTGATTTCTTCAATGTAAATGTCTGCCAGTCCCCAGTTTCGCCGTCACTGCCATCAGAAAACGATAATTTCAATTTGTAGTCGATGGTGGTACCATTGACTCGAGGCATGTCGATTGAATATACAGGTAGTTTGTTATCATTGACATGCATTCCTTTCATCATCTCCCAATCACATTGTTGTGTACGATTCATATCAAAACATATGGCTGCATTCCTCGTATCATATGGTATGTTTGTGTAGAAGACGTTGTTGCTCAGAGCTGTCAATAGAATGAAGCTTGCTTTCAGTATCGCCATCTAGCTGTGTTGGTTGGATTCTTCTCGATGTAGGAAACGTTGCAACTGAACGTCTTGGTTCTGTGAACACCTTGTCCCAAATACTCAATTGCTCGAAATCTTTGAACAAACAAACTTTCTGCTCATACAATTGGATGTCTGCACTGAGCTCTCTAACTTTCAACCCAAATTTTTCTAGTGCACTTCTGTATTCGTCAGAAGACATGATACAACGTTTTTTACATCCATACCTTCAACTTATATCCATCCAATCTCTCTCTCTCTCTCTCTCTTCTTCTCACTTTTTTACCCTCTCACTCTCTCTTACACTCACTACCCATTCCAATGATACACAGAAAATTTCAATAATGATTTTATTAATGATAGATAGACAGCACATTTTATATTTACATCAATAGCCAGAACAAGTTTTACATTTTCATAAGAAAAAACATATTCTGAAAAAACATACTAGCTTTATGAAAGATAACATGAAAATATAGGTTATTCACGGTTCTCCATCCTTTATTGATATCTCGCAAACATTGAAACTGTGCCCATATCAATGTATTTGCGTGTTCATCCTTAGGAGTACTATTTATTTTCAATGGTAGGATGTATTTTTACTTGATTGTTGGCTTTGTCACAGATCGCCGGTAACCATATTGTTTTCAGATGTCGCAGTCGAGAACCTATTCAGTGTTATAATGTTAAGTCATACGTCTCTCAAATATTTCATCTGATTCAGGTTCTTAATCGTCCTGTATATTATATTTATCCTCGTGGTGGTTCATATATTGTTGAGAACAGATTTTTTGTTCGCTAAACATGCATTATCAACGTTTAATTGTTATCAAGTTTCTATTTCTAGATTTGTTCAGTCATATCGTGGACGATATGTGAAATTTTTCGTCGATTAAATGGCGTTGTTTTTCAAAAATGCTGTTTGTGTGAATTATTTGTGATGGTAGTGATGTGTGCTTTTAAGGAATCATGTACGGGGATATGAGAATGGCGGTTTTTGTTTTATCTGAATTGTCTTCTCACTATTTTCATTCATTATTCAGATTTTCATCGAATCTAAGCCTGTTAAGGTGAAAAAAGCTAAAGGTAAATGCTTTATAACCACATTTTTTTATATACTGGGCTGTATTGGAATAAGCGTAAAAATTTCGAACCTCGAGTCGTTTATACTATCGAATGACATATAGGTGAGGCGAGACCACTTTTACACCTATATAGTTTCACTCTGTAACAATCTTATAACGTTCCATCTACATGAATTTTTTGTGCTGAGTTCAATCATTTAGATTGTTTTAATGTTTTCCTGTTTTCGTTCAATTTTCGGGGGTGCAATTTCCTGTTGATTTGAGGAATTTGAAGGTATCTGATATGAGAATATTATATTTCGATGTGCTGAATACATATACCTGATTATTTCAAAAAACACCTCGTATAGTTGAAATATACAGGCTGATTTTGAAATGAGTGCATATATTCAAGACATATATATGAGAGAGTCTAACAAAAATTACTAAAATATTTGATTTTTCCTAAGTCTTCACATTAACGAGAAATTTCATTTTGAAAATTGAACATAAAATGCTTCGAAATTCGAGTACGCCACTGGGAAGCAAGTGAAATCTGCGGAATCCTAGGGAATCCACAATTCGTCATTCACTAAAGTCAAAACAAGACAGTGATGCCAGATTGTTTCAGAGACGAATATCCTGATAAAAATTTGTCACAGAATGAACATGAATTGAAATAGGTTATGGAAACTAATAGAGGTGAATGTAATATGTACAGGAGCCTTATTTTTCAAAGTTTACTGAGAGAACTGTGGGGTGATTATCTCCATGGATCACGAGAGACGGAGAGAAACATGAGGGGAATGATAGAACGTCCCCCTTCCTTCAATTCGAAAATAAGGCTCCAGCGGGTAGATACAAAATTAGCAGACAATAAATAGGTACACAACATACACAAAGTTGAAAATCGACTCACCTAGTAGATTTTCTCATACCTGCTCGAACAGCAATAAAACTCCCGAGAGCAAACAAATACTAATATCGAGTCCATTCCAGACTAATATCGTCCTGTGTTCTTGTTGGTTCATATTCGCACTTAAACCATCGAAAACGACTCGACGACGACATATCCTTCCTGGCAATCTCACATTGAAAATCATGACCGCGACCATATCACGATTATCACGACACAAGACACAACATCCAATTATTTTATTTTTCATTTTACGTTTACAATTATTTTACAAACCAGCAACCACACAAACGTCACAAACAAAACTCGTATCATATGATCTGTCAACATCATTCCTCAGAACAGTAGTATCTGTGACCTTTGACAGTACTAACTGGGATTGTTCGCGTTCAGAAAATAAACAATCCGAAACCGTCAGAGGCATGCACAAGTCCACAGAACCCAAAAAAATCATACAGTTCTGTGAAACTGCGCATGCTTCTGACCGTTTCGGACGCAAGAATTCAGATGATCATGAATTACTAATAGGCGATTTCTACGGACCAATCAGAAACAGCAAAGTAGCGCCTGCGTGGTTGCGATTCATCCTGATTCTATCTATCTATGTCTATGTTCTATATTTATGTCATAAGTTCTGTGTGACCTGCCTCATTCCTGCCAAAACTGTCTAATTTGTGCGATATGGTTTTACAAGAATGACATTCAGAATGTCAAATGTCAGATTTTTAGGATCTATTACCTTTTGATACAAATCTGTTACCATTTTCCAAGAAAATCTATTACGAAAAAATCAGACCCAGGAACAACACTGAATGTAAAGTTTTGTTTCTGACAATTTGCTTGGAATGTGACGATGCATTTCTCAAACATTGAGCTGAATGATATGGTTCTTATGTCGGGTCGTTATTGTGCGGGGCCCATGAGACTCCTCGAAGACCACGAAATTGTAGCGATGCAAGGAGGTGGAAGGAAGGGTCTAAAGGATTTTTCAGTGAAATAACTTCCAACCGTGAGGTGTTAAGTGTTAAGTTATACGCTATTCGAGCTTATGTGTAGAAATCTTGGGTGAGTCCATTTTGAAGTTTTTGTATTATCTTTCTGAAATTCAAGACCAGGGTTAACTTCTTCCCCATGTACATTTTCTTGATTATACATTTTATTCAATATCTCCTAATTTTCATGTAGAGTGGCAACGTCGCTTCGTTCATCACGGTCGACTGCGGATCGCAAACGATAGTTGTGACAGAAGTAGAAATCTGGGCGGAAAGAGGGTATTTTGCCCCAAATCTATTTTGATCCTAATAATATTTTTAATAGTGCTATTCGGTAGTATACCTCAAGCTTTCTTAGTGTTTAAAATATATGCACTTATTTTAAAATCAGCCTGTATATTTCTGCAGTTATGACCAAGTAAACGTTTCTCGATCTATCAGGTCACGTGACTGATGTTCCACATGAGGATTTTGATAAGAATTGACCTACGATATATAAGATTTCTATATGACAGAATTATTTTAGGTCTGATCGGGTATGCTTTCATATTAGATCACACGAAAAATGATACCCATTTCGCTTCCAGCGGATTACATCCCATCGCACTAAACGCTATCCCCTTGTTCCTCTGACTCTTGAATCACCAGTTTTGGTAGAGAGTTGTTCGACATATTCCATGAACCAACCAGAATACCTCCTATGGTGAAACACTGAGCTGTGATATGAGTTTTAGGTGTAAATAGTTGTTCGATTTATTCCAAGGTGGACGGTGAAAGGGTGTTCTTTTCTATGATTTCGATTCTTAAGTACTTTTGAAATCGACATTATCTACGACTATGTGTTGGTCCTCAAAGGATAGATTCTTATGTCCAAGTGTCCATCTGCCGTCAACATATTTCGGTCCATAAGCATTATCATAATCTGCATAGTGATATTTATCCAATGCTTGCTCTGATGAATGTGGTTCAGACTCCATGATGTGAACGCTATGGTGTCTGATATACAGCTGAAGACTCTT